GAGATGGAGTCTTGCTCTGTCGCTCAGGCTGGAGTTCAGTGGCACGATCTCAGCTCACAGCAACTTCTGCCTCCTGGGTTCAAGCGATTCTCCTGCCTCAGCCTCCCAAGTAGCTGGGACTATGGGTGCATGCCACCAAGATCAGTTAATTTTTGTATTTTTAGTTAAAGACAAGATTTCACCATGTTGGCCAGGATGGTCTTCATCTCTTGACCTTGTGATCTGTCCGACTTGGCCTCCCAAAGTGCTCGGATTACAGGCGTGAGCCACCGCATCTGGCCAGATGAGGGCATTTTTATAGCTAACTCCCAGGGCTGTTTTGAGAATCAGCTGGGTCCAGCATATCCTAAGTGCAAAAGTGTAGGTTATTTGTTGTCATTGCTCACATTCTGAATGCCTGACACTAAGTGCTCAAAAAATTTGGTAGGACAGAACTCTAGAGTAATAAAATCCTCCAGGAAGAATTTCATGTTTAGAGCTGCTGCTATTTTGAGGGATGTGCTTACCCTGCATGTGCCCAGGGAAGGGTGTAGCCATCTGTTTGATAACACCTGTGAGGCATGACATTGACCTAAGTCCCTAATCTGACCCTTTGCTCCAGAGCCTGTTGTGATGTCCTGTTCTTAGATAGAAACCTTGTCAAGCCATTAATGTGATATGAACAGATACAGTGTCTGATCTTCGCTAAAAGCTAAGAAGCAGCCTTCATTCCCGCATATCCTTGGCTGCCTTCCGGCTCCCACTAGCCTCCTCTGGAGCTGTGTATGGGCCTTGCACTCACCCCACCCATCCCTGGCACTGTGTTGTAGCCACTGCTGAGATTTGTGGGAAGCAGTCTTAGAATAAGGTGAGCCAAGCAGAAGATAAAGCAGGAATCCCAGGATTTAGCCTTAAGTTCTCATGTTCTGGGGGTGAGACCTGCAAAAACCATCTTGGCCATGTAATTGTGTGGGTTGGAAAAATGGAAAGCAGCAGCTTATCATCCTGGATAAGGGAGGGTTTGAGGAAAAGGGAAAGAAGCTGTTGGTGCTTAGATTCTGACAGTAGGCTGATGGGTGGAGGTGGCTGGGCAGTGGAAGTGGATTCCCAGCGGCTGGCAGGAATATGTGGCAGATGAGGCTGAGGAAGATGTCTCCCCAGGGATCACCTCCTTGCTTGCTCAGATTCCAAGTGACTGTTAGCATTTTGTGTGCTTTCCTGAGACCCAGCCCTGTCATGAAGAAATAATGGTGACCTTGGGACCCTCAAGAAGCTGAATTACTAACCTTTGGTAAATCAGTGCCAGGAATTGACAGTGTTTAGCTCAAGTGGGCGGCAGCCCTAGGCCAGAATGGTGTTACAAAAACATGAGGTCTCTGTTAACACTGTGCCTATAAAGTCAAAGTGGAAGTAAGCTATTCAGACCCTAGCATGAGTCAAAAAGGGCAGGCTGACAGTCTTTGGCTGTATGACTGTGAGCAAGTGCCTTCACCTTTCTCAGCATCACTTTTCTCATCTACAAAACACGAATGATAATTCCTGCCACATCCAACTCACAGGGTTCTCATGAGACTCACATTTGAGCAAATTGAGAGCACGTGATATCAAGGGACAGTATATGGCTTCCTTTACATTTCCCGCGGAGAGTGGTTGTGAGGCTCACCCAAGCAGCTGCCCACAATGATGAGAACATAGTAGATGTGTGAGAATTATAATTCAGTTGTTGCTTGTAAAAATGCTACATCTGAAAATGCAATATAAGTACACAGAGTATTATAAAGTATAAATTCCTATTTTCATCTTTTATTCATCTGCTAGCAGATAGGCTTAATACACGGCCCCCACAGTCACCTGTCTAGCCTGGTAAATTTTTCCATTCCTGGTCCCAGGGGACCTTAGTAACTCCTTGCCATCTTTCTTACTCCTCAAGTCAACCACACACATGGCCTCTTTTTCTTTCTTTCTTTTTTCTTTTTGAGTTGGAGTCTCACTCTGTCATCCAGGCTGGAGTGCAGTAGTGTGATCTTGGCTCACTGCAACTCCGCCTCCCAGGTTCAAGCAGTTCTTCTGCCTCAGCCTCCTGAGTCTCTGGGACTAGAGGCATGCACCACCACGCCTGGCTAATTTTTGTGTTTTTAATAGAGACGAGGTTTCACCATATTGGCCAGACTGATCTTGAACTCCTGACCTCATGATCCGCCTGCCTCAGCTTCCCAAAGTGCTGGGATGGAACAAACCACATTGTTCCTCCTGAAGAACAACACCTCTTACAGGCATAGGACTCCAGCCCCCTCCAATTTGGTCTTTGAAGCAGCCTCCCTTTTCTGCTCTCAGGGTCAAGCCACCTCCCGTCCATCCCTCTGCTTCTTCAATCGCTGCCAGATGGAATGCCCCTGTCTCACTTCACTTCTTTTTTCAGGCTCAACCCATCAAAATGCATACTGTTCCTTCCTCTGGGAGCTTCCTCTGATTTACCCCACCCTACAGATCACTCAGCTCATGTGGGCTCAGTTTGTGTTGTATGATTTGACTTTTGTCACACGTGATTTTCTAAACATTCTTTCAGCCCTGTGGCAGGGACTGGATCTTCTGCTTTGCCTGCGCTTAGTGGAACACGCTGTTTAAAGGAGGCAATCTGGGAAGACTATCCCTTGACCAAGAGTCCCTCACCTTATTGTTTGCCTTCCTAGGCCCTTGTCTAGCAGCAGAAGCTCCCCGAGAAACAGTGTGCCCTTCAATGAAACATCTTATTTTAGATGTAGCGGGGGTCCCTACCTCCCACCATACCCAGGGAAAGCTTTCAGCTAGTGCCTGCAGGAAACTAATTCTTCTGGACGCTTGGCTTTTCTATTCAGGTATAAGTGCTCTTGTTCTTCAATTTGGCAGGGGCCTTACAGCCAAAAGAAACATGTGCAGGGAGTAAGTCAGAGCATTGGGTCAGTATCTCTGCAGTGAACTGAGGTTTTTCTTCTAGTTTATTTTTCTATGCACACCTATAGACAGATGCCCAGGCTGTGTCCCCACCCCCACGCTGGTGTGGTTCTAGGTATGTCCTGGGAGGCCTAGAATCTAAGATGTCTGAGCTGATGTCACTGGTGGAGAAATGCTTAGAAAGAAAGGGCAATCCTGAATTTGCTTCAAGGTACAGATTTGTTCCCATGTTTCTCTTTTATTTTGGTTTCTATTCTGTCTGCATTTATGTGTGTGTTCAGCAGTGGAGATATAAGATAAAGAAGGAAGATCCTGTCTGTTCTGAGAGTCTCACAGTCTGGTGAAACTTCCTACCCCACTAGTGGGAAGCCTCTTAGAGGGTCCCTGGACTCCTGCTCTTCTCTCTTGCTCTCCAAATTTTGAGGTTAAAGACCACTTTAAGAATCTTATGAAAGTTATGGATTCTCTCTCCTTGCCCCAAATTCAGACATATTCAATACTTTGCATAAAACTCCAGGGGGTTTATAGACCCGATGAAGCCCATCCACGAAACCCACAAGCTCCATTAAAAAAGAAAAAGTCAGTAAGGATGAGAAGGGGGAAGAAACTTGAAATACAAATCGAAACAAATGCATCCTTTTATGGCTCATGAACGTGATGATTGGGTTTTCACACACATGTGAGATGTGCCTCTGGTAAACCTTAAGACATCAGCACATTACCTGTCTAACATAAACATAAAAAAAAAAAAAAGAAAGAAACAACTAAACCTAACTCTATTTAAAATAAATAATATTACTACACCAAAGGGAGGATAAAACCAAACAGACAAGTTCAAGAAATATTTAATTCTAGTTACAAGGAGTTTTTTCTGTAGTGTTATGGGTTAGCAATTCTGAAATACCTTTTGTGTGCTGTAGAGTTGAGCAAATGAGTACAGTATACGTACTGAGCGTATTGGAAGCTAGTTCTTTTTTTTTCCCATTTATTTGTTTTATTGCATTTTAGGTTTTGGGGTACATGTGAAGAACATGCAAAATTGTTGCATAGGAACACACGTGGCAGTGTGATTTGCTGCCTTCCTCCCCATCACCTATATCTGGCATTTCTCCCCTTGCTATCTCTCCCCAGCTTCCCACCCCCCACCGTCCCTCCCCTATTTCCCCCCAACTGACCCCAGTGTGTAGTGCTCCCCTCCCTGTGTCCATGTGTTCTCATTGTTCAACACCCGCCTATGAGTGAGAACATGTGGTGTTTGATCTTCTGCTCTTCTGTCAGTTTGCTGAGAATGATGGTTTCCAGGTTCATCCATGTCCCTACAAAGGACCCAAACTCATCATTTTTGATGGCTGCATAATATTCCATGGTGTATATGTGCCACATTTTCCCTATCCAGTCTATCATCGATGGGCATTTGGGTTGGTTCCAGGTCTTTGCTATTGTAAACAGTGCTGCAGTGAACATTCGTGTGCACGTGTCCTTATAGTAGAACGATTTGTAATCCTTTGGATATATACCCAGTAATGGGATTGCTGGGTCAAATGGAATTTCTATTTCTAGGTCCTTGAGGAATCGCCACACTGTCTTCCATAATGGTTGAACTAATTTACACTCCCACCAACAGTGTAAAAGTGTTCCTATTTCTCCACATCCTCTCCAGCATCTGTTGTCTCCAGATTTTTTAATGATCGCCATTCTAACTGGCGTGAGATGGTATCTCAATGTAGTTTTGATTTGCATTTCTCTGATGACCAGTGATGATGAGCATTTTTTCATATGTTTGTTGGCCTCACGTATGTCTTCTTTTGTAAAGTGTCTGTTCATATCCTTTGCCCACTTTTGAATGGGCTTATTAGTTTTTTTCTTGTAAATCTGTTTTAGTTCTTTGTAAATTCTGGATATCAGCCCTTTGTCAGATGGGTAAACTGCAAAAATTTTTTCCCAATCTGTTGGTTGCCGATTCACTCTAATGATTGTTTCTTTTGCTGTGCAGAAGCTGTGGAGTTTGATTAGGTCTCATTTGTCTATTTTGGCTTTTGTTGTCAATGCTTTTTGTGTTTTGGTCATGAAGTCCTTGCCTACACCTACGTCCTGAATGGTTTTGCCTAGATTTTCTTCTAGGGTTTTTATGGTGTTAGGTCTTATGTTTAAGTCTTTAATCCATCTGGAGTTAATTTTAGTGTAAGGTGTCAGGAAGGGGTCCAGTTTCTGCTTTCTGCACATGGCTAGCCAGCTTTCCCAACACCATTTATTGAACAGGGAATCCTTTCCCCATTGCTTGTTTTTGTCTGGTTTGTCAAAGATCAGGTGGTTGTAGATATGTTGTGTTGCCTACGAGACCTCTGTTCTGTTCCATTGGTCTATATCTCTGTTTTGGTACCAGTACCATGCTGTGTTGATTACTGTAGGCTTGTAGTATAGTTTGAAGTCTGGTAGTGTGATGCCCCCCACTTTGTTCTTTTTGCTTAGAATTGACTTGGCTATGCGGGCTCTCTTTTGGTTGGAAGCTAGTTCTTGCTGTTGGAGAGGAGAGTTATAAATATGGAGAAAGGGAGGACTAAAATGAATTTTGTGGTGTTGAGTTGGAACCAGAGGTATCTATATGAATTCATGAATTAATGTGTGTGTGTTTGTGTGTGTACAGATGTAGAAATAAATTAAGATAAAATATCTATATTTCTTAACTCTGTCTGCTAAAGGGCTTAGAAAGTAGACAGTACAGTAGCATTGAGCACACCTGGCACTCAGATCTTGGTTTCTAAATACCATTTTGTACTGAAAAATAAACTAGGGCTCCTTGGAGAAATGGCTAATTCTCAGGCTGAGAGAGGGAAAGTACAAGATAAGCTTAGAATATTGTGTTGTGCCAGAGAGCAAAGAAGTGTCTTTTAAAAAATGGAGATATGAGAAAAGAACACAGGAATCAGAAGGGGCCCCCCCATTGGCCAAATCTGGGACTATATGAAAATCAGAATAAATAATGGTAATTCTTTATTACCATTACAGTGGTATTATACCACAATATTATAATTGTAATATCACTATAAAATAGTTATAGAATAAAATAATCTATGAGTTCATACTAATATAAATAAATAAATAAGGGAGAAGGGATAGCTGTGTCTTATAGTAGAATATCAACTAATAAATACAGAAGAAATGATGGAGTCAGAATATCATCATTGTACAACATTATCTAGACAAGAATTATTAGTGGATGCTAAAACTAGTGGTAGAAGTTTGATAAAGAAGAGGATATGTCTGGCAGAAGACTTTTCTATACAGTGAAAAAAAAAAAAAGAAAAAAGAAGAGGACATATACATAGATTCAGAGCACCTCCAAGCAAATAACTTATTGATCACAAAGGGAAAATTAGTAACTCCATGGTGAGTTAATCTGGTGAACACAACCGTAGCCATTTAATCACAGTTAACAATACCAATAAAGAGATGCACTGACCTCACATGCCTTGAAAAGGACTCCGTATCATTTCTATGGTACACCTGCCAAAACTATATACCCTGAATCTAATTATGAGGCAGCATAAAACAAACCAAACTGAAGGGCATTCTACATAACAACTGGCCTGTAATCTAAAAAAAAAAAAAAAAAAAAAAGTCCATGAAAGATAAGGGAAGACTGAGAACCTGATCTAGATGAAAGAAGATTAAAGAGATATGAACAGTAAATGCAATGTGTGATCTTGAATTTGATGCTGGATCAGAAAAAAACAGCTCCGATGAAGGACATTATTGGAGCAAATGGTGAAATTTAAATATAAACTATAGATCAGATAAGAATTTTGTATCAGTGTTACAAATTCCCTGATTTCGATAAATGTGTTGGGATTATGTAAGAGAAAATTCTTAGGGAATACACACTGACATATTTATGGATAAATGGGGCATAAATAGTTTAAGAAAAAACATGCGTATGCACATCTATATGGATAGGTAGAAAAATGATAGATCAGCCAGGCACAGTGGCTCACACCTGTATTCCCAGCACTTTGGGAGGCTGACGTGGGCACATTATGAGGTCAGGAGTTCCAGACCAGCCTGGTCAACATAGTGAAACCCCGTGTCTACTAAAAATACAAAAAAATTAGCTGGGTATGGTAGCAAGTGCCTGTTATCCCAGCTACCTGGGAGGCTGAGGCAGGAGAATTGCTTGAACCCAGGAGACAGAGGTGCAGTGAGCTGAGATGGTGCCACTGCACTCCAGCCCCAGTGACAGTGCAAGCCTCTATCTCAAAAAAACAAAAACAAAGCAGAACAATAAATCAAATGGGGCAGAATGTTAGCAATTAGTGAATCTGGGTAAAGAATATACTGTTTTTGCAACTTTTCTTTAAAAGTGGACAATTATATAAAATTTTAAAAGTTTACAAAAAGAATATTTGCTCTAAGATGGAACTTTTTTTTTCTTTTTTTTGGAAACAGATTCTCACTCTGTCATGCACGCTGGAGTGCAGTGGTGCGACCTCAGCTCACTACAACCTCCGCCTTCCAGGTTCAAGTGATTCTCATGCCTCAGCCTCCTAAGTAGCTGGGACTATAGGTATGTGCCACTGTGCCTGGCTAATTTTTGTATTTTAGTGGAGATGAGGTTTCACTATGTTGGCCAGGCTGGTCTCAAACTCCTGACTTCAGGTGATCCGCCCACCTCAGCCTTACAAAGTGCTGGGATTACCAGCATAATCCTACTGAGCCCAGCAAAACTGGAACTCATACATTGCTGGAGGGAATACACATTGATATGACCTCTTTGGAACTTTGGTAGTGTCTTCTAAGTCTATACACTTATATCCCTATCACCCAGCAAGTTTGCTTTCATATTTAACCAATGAAAAACAGTGCTTCTTTTCACTAAAGGACAGGTACAAGAATGTTTATAGTAGTAAAAACTGGAAATAGTGAAACACTGGAAGCAACCTGTGATGGTTAATTTTATGTTGACTCGGCTAGGCAATGGTGCCTAGTTGTTTGGTCAAATATTAGTCTGGATGTTGTTGTAAAATATTTTGTAGATGTGATCAACTAACTTTAGTTAAAGAGAATTATCCATAATGTAGGTGGGCCTTATCCAATCTGTCGAAGGCCTTAAAAGCAAAAACTGAGGTTTCCCAGAGAAGAAGGAATTCTGCCTTAAGATTGTAACATAGAAACCCTGCCTGAGGTTTCTATGTTTCCAGCCTGCTGCTCCACAGAGAAGGACTTTTGGACTTGCCAGCCCCCACAACCATGTGAGTCAATTTCTTTAAAAAAAAAAAAAATCCCTCCTCTGTCTCTTTCATACACATATAATTGGTTATATATAATTATATATATAACATATATAATTGGTTCTGTTTCTCTGGAGAACTGTGACTAATATACAACCCAAATATGTTTGGTTTTTGTGTTAGTCAGTGAGAGAATTGATACATAAAATGCATAAATTTTCAAACTACACAGCAATGGAAAAGAACAAATGGCTATATGCACAAACATAGATGAATCTTGCAGAGATAATGTTGAGTCAGACACAATATTATGTCTGACTCATAAAACAAAAGAATATATACTGTATGAATTAATTTTTACAAAGTTCAGGAACAAGCAAGACTAATTTATTATGACAGAAATCAGAATATTGGTTACCTTTGAGGGATGATATTAGCTGAGGGGACACAAAGGAGTCTTCTTGGGTTTTGGAAGTGTGTGTCAGCATGGTAGTTACGTAGGAGCAA